TGATCTTGAGCATGGAGGTTGGAGTGGGGAGAGGCCGCAGACCAGGCCTAGTGGATAGAGAAGAACTGTCCTTCTAAATCTAGCCAGAACTTGGAGAGGATCAGCTTTAGTTCTAGGGCTTCAATTAGCAATTGGATAGTGCCCAAAGGAAGAAACTCCGACGATTTCCAGTGCATGGGGATATGAATCTTCCACATGCCTCTCCGATTACTTTGAAGGTGATGGTGTGCCGTGCTTGAAGGGGAATGTGGGATGCTCGAATCCAGAATATGTGCTTGCTGGGGGCTCCCAAGTCCTGTCTCCAGCAGATCAAGGACATGGAAGCTCCTCTGAACTGGGGGTTGCTCCATTGCAAGGCTCGCGCTGCCTTCAGACTGAAAGGAAACGAGGACTTCACCACTTGAAAGTTTGTAACAAACTAGGTCTGTTTCATCCCAAACCTTGGCCCCATTTTTCTATGCCTCTGATATCGTCTCTTTGGTGATGGAAATGTCCAATCAGGGATGACTGTAATTTCTTCCCAAGTGCTGCAAAGTGCTGGCCCTCTAGGAAAATTAGGTTCGAGTAAGGTAGTCTATGACAAGGGTAAGGGAGAGAAGATGGTTGAGGCGGCAGATGTGCTTGGGTGGGGGATTCAATTAGTTTTGGAAGGGAAGGAGCAGAGGGTTTGAGAAGGTGCACATGGTTCTGGTAAAGGGGTGGAGGAGCGAGGCGTGGGTGACCATGGGAGGGAGCCATGCCCTTTCTACCTTTAAATTTGTTGAACTACATGGCATACAGTAAACTGTTTGTGATCTAGTTAACTTGTGATCCAAAACTCAAGTAATTCATTTGTTTTGTTTGATCAAATTAATTCACCATCATTAAGTGATCAGTTGATGATATTTTTATCATATTTAGAACAAAAACGTTTGGTGAAAAATCGAATGAAATATATTGTGAAAAATTGCAAAACCAGTTTCTTACTGGTTTTTCTCACTGCTGCATAAACAGCAACTTAGTTTGGATCTAAATCCATTTACAGTCATCATCAATTGCAAGATAAATTTCTCAAGGTCATAGTAAACTATCTCCAAAAGATATAAAAAGGAAATTTGATAAAAAATTTGCATTTTAAAAATAAAAAAATGAAATTATTTTTCTGCTGATTTTGCATCAGAAAATCAGCCTGCAAAAATGATAAAACCATGTTAGATTTTTGGATCATATTTGGTCATTAAAATTATGATATTTAATTTTAATTGTCAGAGGATCATTAGATACAATTATGATTGAGATTAAACTGTAAAAAGCAGATCAGATAATCATCAAATTAAATCGAAATGCTGCTGAAATTGTGACAGTGTCAGCAGGATCAGAAAATTTCATGTTCACAATTTTATTTTGTCGATTTAGATTGTAATTTGGATCAAATTTTAGAAAACACTTGTGCTCTTCTTCGACATGAAGACATGCAAAGTGAAATTAATAGGTGTCAAAGAACTAGATGGTGGAATTTAAAAATTGAGAAAATAGATTTATTTAGGGATAAATTAGTTAAATAAGGAAAATAAAATTATGAACATGAGGTCAATTATATGGAATGAGATGGATGACTGTATTAAGATACTGGTAAAAGAAGTTTTAGAAGAATCTAGATGGAAAAGAAATTTCGATAAGGAATGTTGCTGGTGGAGTGATGAGGCTTAGAAGGCTATTAGAGAAAACGATGATGTTGTAAAACTTGGTAGTGTAATATAAATGATAAAAACTTAGAAGAATATAAAAATGCTAAGAAAAATGCCAAACAAATAGTAAGCAAGGTTAAACTTAAGGCATATGATAATTTATACAGCAAATTGAAAATAAGAAAAGGTGAAAAAGATGTCTGCAATTTAGCAAAAATGATAGAGAAAAAGAATAGGGACCTAGACCATATTAAACGCATTAAGAGTGATGATCCAAAGGTCTTTGTGAAGGATGATGATGTCAACAAAAGGTGGAGAATTTGTTTTTAAAAATTATTAAATGTTGAACACAATAAAAACATAGCGGTAGAAGGAACCGTTGGTATAAATGAGGGCGGAGGTCAAAGATACATTCGTAGGATTAAGATATTGCAGGTGAAAGAAGTTTTTAAAAAGATGAAGATAAGAAAGGCTTTAGGACTAGATGGTATCCCAATAAAGTGTGGAAGTGCATTGGGGAGATTGCATTGACTGGCTGACCAAGTTGTTCAACAGGGTGTTGAGAGCAAAATAAATGTCAGACGAATGGAGGAAAAATATTGTAGTTCCTATTTATAAGAACAAAGGAAACATACAAAATTGTGCAAACTATTGAAGGATCAAACTTATGAGCCACACTATGAAGCTCTGGGACAACGACTAAGACATGAAACGAGTGAATCAAAAACCAATTCGGTTTTATGCCAAGGAGGTCAACAACTAAGGTATTTTCCTACCTAGGCAACTGATTGAGAAGTTTAGGGTGAAGGGAAAAGACCTCCTTATGATTTTTATTTATCTAGAGAAAGCTTATATAAAGTATCGCGAGATTTATTTGATGGGTGTTGGAAAAGAAAGGAGTCTCCAAATACTATATCGACTTGGTGAAAGATATGTACAATGGAGTGCTAATTAGTGTACGGACAACTAGTGGAGAGATGAATTCGTTTTCAGTGACAATAAGTCTATATCAACGGTCAGCCTTAAGCCATACCTTTTTGTCTTAGTTATAGATGACCAAACTAGGCACCTACAAGATGAGGTACCGTGGTGCATGTTGTTCGCAGATGCATAGTTTTGATCGATGAGACACTAAACGACGTCAACACAAAGTTAGAACTTTGGAGGGATGCTCTAGAATCTAAAGGTTTTAAAATTAGCCGGATTAAGATAGAGTATATGGAATGCAAGTTTAGCGATAATGGGAGTAGAGATGAGGAAGTAGTTAATATTGACGGCCAGGAAAATACCAAAAAGAACGCACTTTTGATATCTCGAGTTGATAATCCAAGAAAATAGAGAGATTGGGGAAGATGTCGCACATAGAATTAGAGTTGGGTGGGTGAAGTCGAGATGTGCAATCGGAATTTTATGTGATCGCCTCATATTAATGAAGTTGAAAGGCAAGTTCTATAGGCCAGCTGTGAGACCGGTTTTGCTCTATGAGGCAGAATGTTGAGCAGTAAAAAACAATATACCTATTGAATGAGGATAACATAGATGAGGATATCAAGATGGATGAGTGGCAAGACAAGAAGGGATAAAATTCAAAATGAATACATTCGGAAAAATTTAGGTGTGCCATCAATAGACGATAAGTTGAGAGTGAGTAGACTTAGGTGGGATGGCCATGGGTGGCATAGGTCCAATATAGCACCTGTTAGGAGGTGCAAGTTAGCTCAAGTGGAAGCCTAAAAAAGGGCAAGGGGTAGGCCCAAAGGACATGGTTAGATGTAGTGAGAAAAGATATGGGGACTGTGGTCTCACTGAAGGTATGACCCTTCATAGAGTAGAATGGCTGATCAGGATTTTTGTAGCAGACTCCAAATTAGTTGGGAAAAAGCTTTGACAATGACTTGAGCTCTCCCTCTCTCCCTCTAGAATTAAGAGATCACTCTCTCTCGAGAACTAAGAGTTCTCTGCTTCTCTCTAGAGTAAAGAGATCAGTTTCTCTCTCTAAAATTGAGAAGATCTCATCTTAGAGTCGAGAGTATTTCTTTCTCTCTCCAGATTTAAGGAGAGATCATATTTTGCATAAAGGTGCCATGTCCCATTTTGTTTGTTTCTCTCTCGAAGACTTTGAGTCTTATTTTTTTCCCTAGAAGTGCCACATTCTTGGATCCTCTCTCTGATCTACCGCTCCAAAGATCAGCCACGATTCTTAAAGTCTCTCATCCATTGAAGGAAATTGAGGAATGATGGAGATCAAATATGTAAAATCTCAAATGATCAAGTTTTTTTTCACAGTAGTTGGATCACAGATCAAAGAAGGTAATTTGATATCTTTCTTTCGACTTCTCTGCAAATGAATCTTGAAATCTCTTCTTGATGATCAAAAATCTAAAATGAAGAGAATATTGCTAAAATTTAACAATGAATTCTTATAAGTCTAGATTGCACTAATCTGTCGTTATTGAATGATCAAATTTCATGAGAAATAAGTCATAATTATTCTATGAGCCATTCGGATTTTGATCTTAAAATGATCTAATATCAATCAAGAACAATTAGCTTCAAGGTCACATTGCTTTGTTGATCACATTATCATGAAATCTATTCTACCGTCCTTCTGCTTCTGGTTTTTGCAGCAGAAAACCAGCACTTTGTTTATGAACTAATCGTAGTTCCTTTATAATTTTATTGCTGGAAATTATTTCCAAATCAAATATAATATTGGAGGAAATCATTGTGATTAACTAAGAACAAATGACAAGATGATGATCACATTAAAATGTGGAATTTTCTCTTCTGATTATGCAGCAGAAACTTACAACAGTGTTACTTCAAATTTGATCAATACATTCATAGTGATTTGAATCTTGATTGATCCATGTATGTTTTATACACTGTTTGATTAGTAATTTCTAAGGATTAATCAATTAGTTTGAGGAAGATTTCATCAATGAAAACTTTCTGTTTTTGTCTCAGACGCTGCTAAGAAATCGGTATCAAAAAGGTTTACACGCTGCTGAATTTTTTTTTTTGATTATCTGATAATTTCCAGTAACTTCATTGATTATTTTTGATAAATACTTTGTTAAACATTGGTATGAGATTTAAGAATTTTATGGAAAATTGAGATTAGACATGTTTAATTGGTCCTTTACATCATAAGAATGAACATGACTGCTGCTGTTTCCTCAGCAGCAGCATGTTTGTCATTCTGATAGTGAATTTTCTATGTAAATTGACATAGCATTGATGGTTTTTTGGAAGCAGCTTAACTATGAAACTTCCATTGCTTTTGAGAACCATTTTATATGGATTACTCAATTTTCTTTCTTGATTTTTAAGGTTGTGGCAGTTCTGGTTGGCAAGCTCCAGAGCAGCTTCTCTATGGACGACAAACCAAGGCTATAGACATTTTTAGTTTAGGCTGCATCCTCTACTTTTGCATGACCAAAGGTCGACATCCATTTGGTGAACCATTAGAGAGGGATCTCAATATCAGCAATGGGAAGATTGATCTACGTTTGGTTGATTGTATACCGGAGGCTGATGACCTTTTGTCTCGCATGTTAGCCCATGATCTAACAATGAGGTGAAGTTTCTATTCTCTTTATGTAGTAAAGAAAGTTTGCATTTTATTCTTGTATTGAATTTGAATTTCATTGTACTTTCATGATTGTTATGTCAAGACCAACGGCACAGGAGGTATTGCTTCACCCCCTCTTTTGGACGGATGAATGGCGTCTTCAGTTCCTTAAAGAAACCAGTGATAGGATAGAGTCGGCACACGAGAAGTCCAATCTTGTAGTTGCAATAGAGGAAATTCATCTTACAGCTCGCCATAAAAGATGGGATAAAAAACTGGGTGCCGCATTCATTTCAAATGTAAAAAGTGGTCCTAGAAGGTACAACTTTCACAGCATTTGCGATCTTATTAGAGTCATTCGAAACTATTCAATCCACTACAATCAGCTTCCGATAAACATTCAGGTTCGTAATATAATATTTTAAACTACTAAGTCTTTATGTTTTTTGAAACATATTGGACAATTGGAACAATCTAAGCCACTGTTTTTGCACACTTCACTTTAATGTTCTTCCGAACACCTGTAAGCCCCTATTGAATTGCTTATTGCAGAAACTTCTTGGGCCATTGCCTAGTGGATTTTATGGCTATTTTGCAAGCCGATTTCCAAATTTACTTATGGAGATACACAAAATTGTATATCAATATCACAGGGAAGAAGAATGGTATGAGAATTTTGTTGAAAGAATGAGGAGAGCAAACGGACGCTTTTAATTTGTTTTATCAAATACCATCCTTTTTAATTTGAGTTGTATCAGTATGTGAGTGTGCTAATTACATTTGTAAATGATTGTGGATCCACTAAGTTGGTTCGTATGGATGGTTGGTTTTCCAATGATTGCTGAAAGTATGAATCCTGGGATAGCTTATGTAGATTAAAAGTGTTAAAACGGGCATGGTCCATCATGAATGAAAGTGTGGTGGGCCATTTGGGTTACTGTGTAAATATGAATGCTATTTTATAAATTGGGAATGTAGGATTTTGTGAAGGAAACTATGCATGCTAATATTTGATTATTGAAAAAAAAAAACAAAGATATATTCACTATTGAATGATGATCCTCAAATTATTGAATCTTGTTGCTTGTTGGAACCATTTCTTTCCAAAACTCATGATCCACATAGCAGAAAGAAGAGTGGTATAAGAATTTTGTTGAAAGCATGATAAAAATAAACGAAAGTTTTTTATTCCATATCAAATAGGCTATGAAGTTTAAAACTCTCTCTCTCTCTAAGTTCACCCAACCCAAAGATTGCTCTATCTCACTTGGAAAGCGGGTGTGCTCAGGCCCCCACTGTTGGGTTCACCCTCATCCCTGCTAAAAATAACACACTCTCTCTCTCTCTAGAACTAGCACCAAATACTGCCCAGATCTCTCACTCCCACTACCAAAACTACCATCGCTCCCCCTCTCATGAAGTAGCCCCAATTATTTAACCAAATCTTTCTCTCCCCAAACCAATACACCGCTCTCTCTCTCTCTAAACAACCCTAAATATTACCCAAACTAGTTCGATGACAATTTGGGGCAGATCGGTTATCCGAGGCAAACTGGGCCGACAATGGCGACAGAGAAGTTCCCAACGTGGCAAAACCCAATACATTGAAGAATTTGGGAGGTGTTTTACAATTGGAAAATGTTTATATAAGATTGCAACTTTAAAATGTAGAATGACATATGTGCCTAAACAATCCATCGGAAAAGGTTGTTTTAATGTTGAAAAACTTTTTAATCGATTATCTTGACATCGAGATTAATGGATATGAAAAAAAAGAAAGAAAAAGAGTGTGAGTTTAAGAAATAGTTCATTTTGCAACATATTATCTATATCCATTTTCAAGATTTTCATATTTTTATTGATCTACTTGATTTTAAGCATATTTAAAGTTTAGAATTTTATAATTAGAGTAATCCTAGAAAAAATTTACACCAAAATTATATATTAGGATAAAATTTGGAGGTGCACCTTAATTGGATTGTTTAAAGTTGCAACCTTATAGAGGCCACACCTTTTACAAATTTGGGGAACGGTATAAAGGCAATACAAATTAGGGGAACACAATGGCTTAAAGGAAACCGAATGATGTGGATAAGATATTTACGTACCGAGTTTTTATGCTGTTATAACAAAATGGCTCGAAAATTGGTCATTATTACTTAGAACGACAAATCTTTTAATTTTTTTTTGATTTTTGTCAAGATTGGCCCTGGTATGATTTTTCAAACATCTGACCGCTTGGTTCACTTGCAAAATTCAACAGAATGCAGTGCAATGGTTATAACATCAGATCGCATGGTTTACTTACAAAATTCAACAGAATGTGGTCTAGAGGTTCTAAGATTGGATCACTTGATTTTCATAAAAACATTTAACAGAATAGGGTCCGATAGTTCTAACATTGGACCGCGTGGTACAACCTCAAAAAACAAGCAAAATTAAAAACAACCTAAAAAAAAAAAAACATCGGACCACTTGGTTCATTTACAAAATGCAGTTCGACGGTTCTAACATCGGATCGCTTGGTTCACTTATAAAATTCAACTGAATGCGTTCTGATGTTAGAACCATCAAATCGGTTGATTTCATAAAAATATCAACCGAATGTGGTGGTTCGATAGTTCTAACATCGAATCGCTTGGTTCACTTAAAATAATATATAGCAGAAGGTGATCTGATTCTTGAAAAATCAGACTGAGACAAACTTGACAAAAAATAAATAAAATTCAAAGATTCGTCGATAAAGGAAATAGTGGTCTATTTTCAAGCCATTTCGTTAAAACGGTATAAAAGCCCAATATGTCAATAGACCACCATAGGGTAACGTCTTGGAAGTGCCCGAAGGTCTAGCATGGTAAGAGGAGAAAAACCTGGTACATGGATGAAGAGAAAAATATCAGGTCGAGGTTGGAAGTCCTTAATGGCCATTGTTTATGTGATCCGTGGATTGTTCTCTTCTCTCTCAGTGCCCAATTGCAATTTGAAAAAGAAAAAAAGGCGGACAGTTTAATTTGAACAATACCCAATAGAATATCATTGCAGTGCGATCAAAATCCCCCCACAAAACAAATAAGAAATATTCAATCCACAATTAAGTAAATTGTAATTTAAATTTTTAATGAATTTGAAAAAAAGTTGAATCAAAAGGTGCCCAAATGATTTAAAATTTTTGTTTTGCTTTGTCTTTTGGGTTTTAAAACACGGCTAAAAACAAAAGGGCGTTATTTGAACCTATAACATTGTAGGAAATATTCCACTTAAAAAGTGAGCAACAACGATTTTTGAGGTGCGTCTTAATTTGATTGTTTAAGGCCTCCCTCTTATATAATTTTTTTCCTTATAATAAACAATACAATCAAGGGAAATTATCGCTAATATACCCATATTTTTAGAAAATTGGAAAAAAAAAACCCAACTTTTCAAAACCTCATCCATGCCCTTTTTTCCCAGTTTCGCGAAATTTTGGATGAAACTACCCTTTACGGTAGTCTTTGTACCGTAATAAGAATTACAGTATTAAAAACACCGTAATTTTAATTTACGGTACTATGAGTACCGTATTGTTCTTGCAATATATTACGATACTACTAGTATCGTAATTCTTCAAAAACTTTTTACGGTACTACAGATACCGTAATACACCTTATAGAAACTTTTAAAATGTATTTTGGTACTCGTAGTACCGTAATACTTTCATTTTTCAGCCGTATAAACCCTAACCCAAAAGAACCCAAGATTACGGTCGTCATCCAAAACAACCCAAGATTACGGTCTCTATTCTGCAGTTAGAAGGTTGTTGCGATGTTCTCCATCTTCATCGATCTCTTCCTCATTATTTCAGGTAAGAAATAGTTGTTGTTGGATTTATAAATCCCAATCGTACAATATTAATTTCAGAGCACGTAGAATTGCAACATCTTTGTTCTCTCTTTTCAATTCAACAGATCTGTGATTTGTTCCAATATATGTGATTTGTTCCATTATTAGTGATTTCCAATATCTGTGATTAATTTCTTGGATCGCAATGGTGCATTATTTAGGTTTTTGATAATTTCTTTCATTCTTTCAATAATTTCTTCACCCCCTAATGTTTCTTGAAGAAATTTGGTGGGTTCGATAGATAATTGAAGTAGTTATTAGATTCTTGTTTCAATTTGTTCAAAAAACAAAATATTATGGGTTGATATTCACCTAAAAGGCTGCTGCTCAAAAAACCTGTGCTCGATAAAAAAACAAAGATTTTGAAACTAAATATTGTTCCAGCTTGTTCAAGCTTGTGTGATGGCATCTTCTGATATTTGATTTGAAAGTAAATATTGTTCAAGCTTGTGTGATGATATCCTGTATTTTGGATAAATAATGAGTTCATTACCTTATTTGATAATTCATCCTTGCATTTTGTACAACCTAAGCTAGCATATGCTAATGACAATAAGACAAAATAAAAATAAAAATCGATCATATGAATCTTTCTCGAAATGTTCAGAAATCTTTGCCGATTTATATTTTTAGGAGTGAAAAACATCAATGTCTATATCTCAATGTAGTAGGGTTTCTAATATTAATTATATTTGGAGAATCAGCTCTCAACACAAACCTGGGCTTTATTATCAAGAAAAGTGTAAAATTTGATTTGAAACTAAATATTGTTCAAGCTTGTGTGATGGCATCTTCTGATATTTGTTTTGAAACTAAATATCGTTCAAGCTTGTGTGATGGTATCATAGGAGTTGGATAAAAAATGAGTTCATTCCCTTATTGGCTAATCCTTCCTTGCATTTTGTGCAACTTAATGAGTTCATTCCCTTATTGTTCAATGACACTAAGTTAGGCATTTTTTAAGTAGAATTGTCATAAATTTACACCAACTTAGGCATGCTTTTTTAAGTAGAATTAGCATCACAAGCCATTATGTCATTATATTGTCATTGAACTTTGTCCATATTGCCGAGTATATGAAATATGGAAGTTGTAGACATTAGCCGCTAATGCATCTTGCTGGTCATCTTTGAATGATTTTTTTTCTTTTGCTTGTGATATCAATGTACATCAAGTTAGGTTTTTTTAAGTAGAATTGGCATAAATGCACACCAAGTTAGACATGTTTTAAAGTAGAATTAGCTTATGCATTTTAGAATGGAGTGTAAGTTTCAAATATAGTAAGTTTAAATAAAGGTACCAAATTCATCAGGGACTTAAGGAATACTTGCTAGGACATTTAAATATCATACTATTGTGTCATTTACTACGAAAATGTTTATTAATGAATAATTTTTTTCTTTTTGATTTACAAAGGTTTTTGATGTATGATGGCTTTTTGAACAATGATCATGGCAGAAGATGCACCCTTCCTTGGATGTCCTGAGATTCTTTCATTGCTCACTAGACGAAGAGAACATATATCACATAAGATATGAGAAGGAGATGTAAGTAGAAATATTTTAAAGTATACTCTTTGTCTATCATGTTAGTTAATTGACTTTTTTCCTTTTTTAAGTATCCAAAATAACAAATTCTATTTCATCGTCAAAAAAATACCCTCAGAATTGATGAGAAGCCTAATGCAAATGCTACATGGCCGTTAACAAACAATGACCAAATTGATTTGGTCAGAAGATCAGGATTGTAACCTCTGACTATAGTATTGATGAATCAGCATGCCCGCGGTACATTATCTACAATCATCAAGAGGTGGCACATTGAGACGAACACGGGGCACTTCAATGTAGACATCAGAGAAATGATGCCTACACTTGAAGATACTTGAAAAATTCTTCGGTTAAAAGTGACTGGTGTAGATGTAACCATGAGGAGAGTGGAGAACTACAAGGAACATATAGTCCGCATGATAGGACATCTGCCACCTAGTCATAGTCATTCCTTTATCCGACTGACATAGTTGAGGAACACGTTTAGATAGATACCACAAAACTATACCCGCACTACTCTTCTACGATATACCCATGCCTACCTCTTATATCTAGTCAGGTGCATAATATTTGTGGGTTCTACAGATGGTACAGTTCCTACAATCTACTTACAACCTTTTGAGGATATCGACGTAGCTGGTCAGTATCCATGACGTGCATGTGCGTTAGCATTTTTGTTTCGAGCCTTGTCAAAGGTTGTTCATGTTGATCATCAACACTTAAATGGATTAGCCACTCTTTTGCTGGTAATTGTAGTATATTAGTGTTTTGATACTTTTTATAAAGTTTGATAGATATTTCTTGTTCTGATTCTTATTTTTTTATACATGTATTTAAGTGTTGGGCGTACGAGCATTTCAAATTGTTGCGCCTAATTCCAAAAGAAATAAGGGCAGGGCAACCTAGATCCCTCAGGTGGACCCCTCATAGAGAATGGGATAACACTTACAACTTCGGTCTGGTGGGGCGACATGAGCTTGATAATGCACGGATAAATGATGTTAGTATAGTATATTTATAATTTGTTTTGTTTATTTATAATTTATTTAATTTTAGGTGATGTTAGTATAGATAAATTTGTGATGTTATAATTTGTGATGTAAGTATAGATAAATTTGTGATGTTATAATTTGTGATGTAAGTATAGATATATTTGTTATGTTATATGGACCCCATACGGCGATTTGTTATAATTTGTGATGTTTATAATTAAATTTGTTTATTTATGTCATAGGTCATATGGACCCTATACGACGATTATCCTGACATAAGAGAGGAAAGTGCAGAGGATAGAGATTATGGGCTTTGTATCCGTGAGACTACTTTGTGTCGCACATGCCTTATATGTGGATACATTTGTGAGGGGTAAATGCCGGATCGTGTGCTCTGACAATTTGGACGTCACCAAGGGATACCAGCAGATCCCTTGCAGTGGGAGAGGTGGGAGAGAAGGGGGAAGAAGTATGACAACTGGGGAGATGAGCTGAGCGATGAAATCGATATGTGGACGAACCGTTTAGATTGTTTTTGTCAGGCAGGTGAAGATATGTATAATGGGAAGCCGACACGAGAATACATTGAGTGGTACAAACTAAAGACTAGGCCCCTGATCCATAATCCATTTAGAAAACATCCCTCCAAATATGCACCACGAGGTTATAATGATGAAGATAGAATGATAATAATTTATTTTAACATTTCATATAACTTGATGCAATTTAGAAGTCTCAATAATCTAATTTCATATTTGATATGACTTGATGCAGCCTAGGGACATCAGCCATGCAACTAAACTTCTACGTGAAGGTTGTAATTCAAGAAATTGGGACCTAGTTAATGAAGCAATTCAGATACTTAAAATATATGACCCAGAAGTTGCAGGGGAAGAAGTATATGAAGAATTGGAACTAGATTATGAGATGGATGACAACGTGCTAGTATGACATCCTTCTCGACTAGATGAGGGGCTAAGTAATTGATAACCCATCCCCACACCGATTCAACCAGAGGAGCCTTGATGGCAATTGTGTCATTGTGTTGAAGACGAGAGGAGAGCAGCTCATAGCAACAGAGCAGCTCTAATACATAGTTGCAGTTATCATTGTGGACCGAGAAGCTGCCAATACGACGAAAGCGTTTATGGTGTGTACATGGCTAGATGTATGGTTTTATTTGTTGTAATGAGGCTAATAGTGCTTAATCTGTGTAAAGAGATCATTAGTGCCTATACTGTTTTATATGAGAAGTTTTATATGAAAAGTTTTATTTGTATGTGAATTGCTTTGTATGTCAATTGCTATGTGTATATCAATTTCAGGGTCCATTGGTCTTAAAGGGTACAACTCAGGGTACAAATGGTCTATAAGTATAAATACAACTCAGGGTACAAATATTGATTAGGTACATCACATTTTGAAGCTATGAGAAAAGTTACTTACAACCTACAATTCACATTTTGTAACTAAGACTAGAGGGGTAGAAGTTGAGTAAAATAGCTGGGCATAAGCTATGAGAAAAGTTACTTACAACCTACAACTAGCATATCTTCATAAAATAGATGTGCAGAAGGTGAGTAACTAAGACTAGAGGAGAGGACAAATGTTGCCCAATGGTGATGTAGAAGAAGCAATATTGTTGGTGATGTTGGCTTGCATTTTTTATAGACAAATTCTTTTAAAAAAATATATATTATTACGGCCTTTTAAATACTGTAATACCTGTTCAAGGAATTACGGTACTACAAGTACTGTAATGAATATTACGGTACTCTTTGTACCGTAATCCCCTTTATGACTATTACGGTCATACAAAGACCGTAATGGTCCATAGCTTACTGAAATGCCTTTTGTGACCATTACGGTACTCTTAGTACCGCAATGCCCTTTTGGTCATACAAAGAGCATAATAGTCCATAGCTTACTGGAAATTCCAGTAGGCTACGGACCATTACGGTCTTTGTATGACCTAATGGTCACAAAGGGCATTACGGTACTAAGAGTACCGTAATAGTTTTTTTTTTTTAATAATATTGGCTATAAGAAATGCCAGCTAAGATCACCCAGCATTGCTTTTTCCACATCACCATTGGGCAACAATTGTACCATTACCAGTTCTTTTTCTTGTTGTTAGACTTCTATAAATTAAGATGAATCATGTAAGGGTGTTCTTTGTCATGGTGGAAACACTCAACAATCAACGTAAAACCATTCATTATTTAAATAAAGCAAGACCATTTAGATAAAAATTGGATAGCTTGAAAACTTCTTAGTGGGCACTAGCTTCTTTACAAAATGACATCAAAAAAAGATCAACTGGCACTAATAGCCTATTTACATCATTTTATCTACTCAATTTACATGTCTTTCGGTTATGGCCCACAATCCCGCATCGACTACACTTAAGAGGCCTAATCTCTTTGTACTCTGTTTGCCGCAATATTTCTTTGGCTGACCTGCAGTTCGCCTTGCAGCTGGCGGCGTTACAGTTGTATAGGTAATCTCTGGCAACTCTAGTACATAAGGCATTGGGTTGAAAGGATGGGAATATGCCCTATGATACATTTGAACTGTGAAATAAACGCCGCAATAATTTGTAACATCTTCATGCCTATGATCTACAGCGGCGATTGCATGACTGGACGACAACCCACTAACCTGCCATACCCTACAACTGCAAGTATGAGTCGTCAGATTAACAACATAAATCTTATCCGCATTGATATCATACATACCATCATGAGCCCATGTGACTGTATGAAGGAATTTGGACTTATCCCTCCTCCGGTCTATTACCTTTTGGGCCTTCGGTGTAAGCTCGCCGCTCCAATTTAGGGACATGGCCATCTTCTTTGAAAATTCTCCCATGAGCTTAACCCTTGGGCATTCAAGGAGTTTAATTAGGGGCTTCTCTCGAGCTTGTAATATCCATCAGTTAAATGATTCAGAAATGTTCGATGTCAGATGATTGTATCTACATCCCTTAAAATGTGCATTTGCCCAATATTTCGGATGTTGTAACACGATCCATTCATAGGTCTTAGCAATTGCAATCTTAATCTTTGTCATGTACTCATCGAAGTCTTATATATATAATGTACATGCAGCTTTCCAATAAAATTTTGTGAGCGCTGAATTTCTATAGGCATTTTTGAAGTTATCGGCAAGGTGTTTCATATAATAGCATTGTTCACTGGTTGGAAATATTGTTTCAATTGCGGCTTGCAACCCTTTCTGACGATCTGAGACAATAGTCAATGCTGGCAACCCTTTCTGACGATCTGTGATATGGCATAATCAATAAGATGATTACGGCATGCCTATACGTCATTAAAATTCTGACCATCTTGAAGTACAACTTCGTGATGGTTAATCCTCAGGGGGCTTTCTATCGGATTAATGTCGTCCATATGCCGCTCGATTTCTGATTCATGCTCATATTGTGCACCTATGCCAGCAACACATTCATTATGACCTACTTGCTCTGGTCTGGATGTGCTGTAGCAAAAAAAAAAACAAGACAAGCTCGAATTATCTTAACTCATAACCAAATATTGACAAATAAGAAAATTTATAATTTCCATTCCAAACTTCTTACATGACCAATCTTGATGGATCATTATCGGGTATTGTTGGTGGTCGATATTCAGTGCAGTCAGACGGACTAATATCAGGCATTGTTGGTGGTTGATATTAAGTATAATCATACTCAATAGGTCTGTTTGATACGTACATAGCAATGGGAGAAGCCCTTTCCATTATATTGGCAATGTCGTCATAATCATCAATACGTACCATATTACTTGATAACCTTGGATCAATATACCTAATAGTCATGGTACTTAGGGCATAATTTGATACTTTTGACAAGTGATCATTGACTTGTTCAAATGACGGGATCCCCTTAAAAAATATAACCGTTACATTCCTACCGTCATAAAAATTACTTTTACTAGGTTTCCTTCTGAAAATCCACCAAAATTTAAAATGATTTTCACTTTGTTTTCACCCATTATTGACGCGTACAAGTTGAATCACTGCAAAGAAATTTCAGATGGAAACATAAAAAAAAATTCTTATAAGAGGTTCACAATACTTACACAAAGTGAGGAGGTTGCATGAAGGATATTAGATTGCAATACAATTGTTATAATATAAAAAAAAAATTACAATGGCCATCCAAACTACATCAAGTATTTTTTTGATGGCCAAACTACAATTGTCATAATATAAAAATACAATTGAAAAACATTGTTTTGATGGCCAACCATTAAATAAAGCTAAAATTTATTTATGCAACAATATAAATAAATCTCAAACTTATTTATGCAATATAATATCTTTTTAATGCTAAAAACAACATAATATTTTGATGACATACCTAAAAATTAGTTGGTCTGTAAATTTGATCATCTGATGGACCTCCTTCAAAGATTGATAAATAGGGATAAAAAAAAGTCTGAAAGTGCTTAACATTTGGTCAAAATAGGGTTTTATGAAAAATTTGAGAAAAAAAAAAGCGGGAAACAAATTACGGTACTAAGAGTGCCGTAATTATTTAAGTAAAATACCCTACCCTTATTACGATACCCTTGGTACCGTAAAAAGCTTTTGAAGAATTACAGTATTAGTAGTATCGTAATATATTGTAAGAACAATACGGTACTCATAGTACCGTAAATTAAACATTACGGTGTTTTTAATACCATAATTCTTATTATGGTACAAAGACTACCGTAAGGGGTAGTTTTGTCCAAAATTTCACAAAAATAGAAAAAAAAGGTGTGGACGAGGTTTTGGGAAGTTGAAGGTTTTTTTCGAATTTCCTAAAAATATGGGTATATTGACGATAATTTTCCTACAATCAAAAGCATTTAATAAATATTTTTTTAAAAAAGCAGTGAAAATATCATGCAACCGTGTACCATCCAAATAAGAGAAATCCATTTTATAAGAAATACATTTTCCAAAATATACAATTCAAAAGAAATAACAGCCCCTCGGATAAAATCAGATATCAGGGTGTAATTCTTACGCCAAGTAAACTGAGCAGCTAAGACATGAATATCAATTGGTTCATGCTCCAAGATAAACTCAATAAAGGCTTGTACACATAACATGATTCTTCCCCTATTGCTACACTAAGCTTGCCATCTAACCATGTTGGAATCCCTGCGATACATATAACAAATTCCAGGAAGTCCTTTTAACAGGACAATTCTGGCAATATACATTATGAAGAAGCTATCTAATGTTTTGCATAGGTCCTTCAAAAACAAGAAAAAACTGTTATTTCACAAATATCAAAGTTGCAACCTCTAAGTAGATTGAGGTCTTGCAAAACCTCAATGGCTGGGGTCGTGGTGGTAGCACCCCCACACCCTAGTCACCACATTGTAGATTTCATTTCTACTGACACCGCCCCACTAACACCTTCAGAAACTAACTCCTATATTATATGAAAAAACCGGTACAGGTCTGTCTTCCCCATTGAATTACCCACAAGAAAAAAAAAATCATTACTAATACAGTATAGAGAATGCCCATCCCATACTAGCTGATCATTTTGAAAGTTTGGGTTTGGAAGTTTAGTTTCTTACTTCGGCAGTCATGTTCATGAGTTGTGACTTGCAACAACACATGGTTTTCTTTATGCATCTCCCAACCCGCAAACGTTCTAGCTAAGTATCTCCATTGTCTAATGGCCACTTTCTTTCGGGGCTTGGTGGTCGATATCTCAACGGCAGACACAAAACTCCTATAGGAGGAGTGAGAACTTCACACTCCTTCGTCATCACCTATTGACCTTGTCCTCCTTTCTATGATGGCCTTTGAGTTAGGGGTGGCAATGGACCCTTCCAGACCCGGGACCTGACGGGTAGACCCGACCTCGGGTCGGGGTCCAGCTAGACCCAACCAACACTCGACCCGAATAATATGGTTATATGTTATGGGGATATTCATAAATGTTGCCAATACATTTGTTTCTTAAGAATTTCTAGTTATTACGTAAAATAGTAAGGAATATGGGTATAATGTTGTGCAATATTGTAAATGTTGCCAATAATATTGGTATATGATGGTAAAAAAAAAGTTGCCAATGATACAGGTATATGATGATTAAAAAAAAAAAAAAGTGTAAAAGAAAAAGAAAAAGCTCATAGTCATAGGGTGGCAATGGACCCGACGAGACCTAGGACCCGACAGGTCTGAGTATTTTTTTGGACCCGAAAGATTGGGTCCTGGCCTAAAACTGAACCCGAATACTATTCAAGACCTGATCCGAATTCAAGTCTAGCCAGAGCCGAACCGTTGCCACCCTTACTCTGAGTTCAACCCCATTAGCTCCTTGACCCGTTGCCACCCTTACTCTGAGTTCAACCCCATTAGCTCCTTGGTAGCCTTCACATTCCTCTCTTTTTTTTTCATTATCAATTTTTTCTGTCCTTTTTAATAGGAGCCATAAAACTCTCTATAGGCTCTTTAAGAATCACCATATGGCATTAAGCCTGCAGCCAATCTCTTGACACGAAACCTTCTCAACTTGCTCATCTCTACTCCCATCCTCCATGTAAAACACTTGACATATTCTAGTGTTGGATACACCTCTCATGGCACCACATTCAACGGCACTACTTCCTGCATATCATCCTCCTTAAAATCCTGTTGCCTCCTTAAACTTTTTACCACTGTACTCAGTGATCCTTCCTCAGTGGTATGGGTTTAAAAGTTTGACCTGGCGAGTCAGATCCGGGTCCTACATTATATTTTTGGGTTTTAATTTATAAAATATATTTAAATAAATAGATGTTTTGATTTTTGGTCGGGACCCGCATTTTATATTTTCTGGCCTGGGTTCAAGGTCTGGGTTAGGTCCCAACCTGACCGATTGTCACCCTTGAAAGAAAGACCTATGTGATCTTTTCCTGAGGAATAATTCTTTTTTTTTATATCACCTCTTTTGTTTTGGCAAAAGATCACTTATAAGTGGTTTTTTTACAACAACATATACTTCAAAATAAAATCAATGTGGCAATAAAACTAATATCTTAAAACTTGATGCCATTGAAATAATTATACACTATGCTTGAGAATAAAATGTTTTTTACAAGAAATAAAAGAGAAGAGTGTCGGAGATTACCTCAACCAGACTTATTACACCCCACACTGAGTCACTACCATCCGATGGCATGGGATCGACGATCTTGCTTCAATATCAAACCGGGAAAGCAAATTTAGGCCAAGCCACGCCAATGGAACATGAACCCCTTTGATCAAAAACTCAAACCCTAAGTGAATTACCTTAGCAACTTAGTTTGAGAGAGATGAATTCTCTTTTTGCTAAACCTAAAAATAGCCTAATCCCTTAGCCCATTTTCACAATGTGGGAGAGAGAGATCAAACATGAGAGAAAGATAGAAAGATAATGTGTAGAGATTTTAGGTAGAGACAATTCTATTTTTTATAGGCTTGAACAAGATTTAAGTTTCTTAGGGTTTTCTTGGCTTGTCTTTTCTTGTGAGATTGAACATGAACCGTTGATCAAGGGTGACTTGTGGGGTGAGATATCTGAGTCATCCATTCCATAGATGGGTCATCAACATTATGGAAGGTGCATGAACCCTTATCCCTCTTTTCTAAACCATTTTCTCATCAATAGAAAATAAGTTAAATTAATTTTAATTAAATATTGTGCATTACATAAAATAGCACATCTCCACACATATTTTCCATAAAATCTATCAAAGATATATCAAGTCAATATCTACTTCCATATTAAGTCAATCTATGGTCAATACATACTCAATCCATAATTTGATCACATGTCACAATTTAAAGTTACCAAAACATAAGGTCACATGGACCAC